TGTTTAAAATATTAGAGCTGGAAGTTGGAAAAGAAAAAATAATTAAAAATAAATATAATTTAAATAAATTAAAACTATTATTACTAAAACATTTAAAATTATAACAAAGTGGCACAGATTCATTTACTTCTGCTTAGTTTTCAATTTTGTATCTGTATCTGTATCTAGCGTGAAATGTGTTTAAATTGAAACCGATGGGCAATTAAAATTGCTTTCCAGATACTCGAACATTGATTTACTATGTGCAACAGTTGTTCCCACTGAAACTAATTATTTATTTTTTTTTTTCATAAGAAAATTTTGTAATTTGATTTTTTTCATTTTCAGTTTTGCAATTTTAATTTTCATTTTAACGATTCTAGCAAATCCCAAAGCTGCGCGCATTCAACCGGCAAAGCAGCTTTGATTAAAAATGAAAATCAACAGATATTCAACAGATACAATATGAAAAGCAAGCAAATAAAAAAATAATTGAAAAAATTAAACAAAATATTGTATACTATATTGCATACATGTTCAATAATGCTGGTATTTATACTATTAGAATATCTGTACTTCAAGTTGACAATTCGTTTTAGGTGCGCTGAATAGTCAAGAACCCTGATTGGTGTCAAGACAACAAAACTATTCATTTTTGTTTAGCGGTAGGTGGAAGATATGTGAAGTTCCAGTATGATATTACTAAAATCTTCTTGTGAAAATTTGAAAACCATTCCCATACTTGTCTTTAAAAAGTCAATGACTGAAAACATCATAGGATGTGAAAACACATCCTACAATCATAGGATGAAAATTAAGGAATGAAGTCGTGACTTACGTTAAAAATTCGTTTATACATACACTATTTAAATAGCAATGTGCTGTATCTAATTTAGCAAAATGGAGAATTAAGAAAATCCTTCAAAAAATTTTAAAGAAGCTCTTTAGATAAATGTTCAGCATGTGAAATATCTGGAGAGGATTAAGGCAGCGAATATTTACGTGTTATATATAAAGAATATTTATCACAGCGATAGAATAAAATTAATCACAGCTGTTATCAAATCTATATTTCATTTCGATCGATTTTACACGAGCCCATATTGATAACCCGTAAACGAATAGAAAGCGAATAAATTGTTTATAATAGAGCAGTTTACTCTTAACTTTAATGAAGACGCACATCATTAAAAATTATTATTTTTTGTATATTATAATTTTAATATAGTTTTTTTAAAAGTACTGCTTTCTTTTTTGATAATTAAAGGGACCAAATAATACAATGATAAAGAGAGCGAGAAAAGAAACGAAAAGATTGCAAGATTGAAACCAGTTTAGATTAAGAACCGTGTTACCTCCCGCAAGCAGAGATCAACAGATTTATTGGACTCTGAGTATGTAAGGAGATATTAAATAGTTGGACAACGTAAGAGTAGAGGAGCTAGCTGGTTGAGGTCACTTGCTTCTACAAATTTTAATTTCTCACAAAACAATTGCGAAGATGTTACAACTTAATTCAAGATTTCTCATATCG